CTGGATATTTATACGTTATTTTGGCAAGTTCCACCAGAATATCACTAAGAACGTTTCCTTCATTACCTGGTGAAAAATATAGCCCCTTCTTTAAGAGATCTGTAGTTTCAGAATCCAGAGGGATTGAAGATAGGTTTACTACCTTAGTTCTATCGTCGTCTGTAGCAGTTGATGCCTTCAATAAAGAACGATAAAAATTAGCCCGGGTTTGCTTGGTCTTGCATCCCATAGCTAAAAAATTTCTTGTCATGTCGCTTATTTATCAAATCCAGTACCTTCTGTGACTTCTGGTCCGTCATGCTCTGGAGTTTTTGAAAATCATCCAAAGTAAGAACCTTACCTAGATCCTTCCTTTATCTAGACTTGAGATCCATTAACTTAAATAGCTTACGCCTCTCAGTCTCGTAACTTTCCTCTAATTTCTGGATGGAGTGTGATAAAGTATTTCATTAACTGTGTCCGAATGACACTTCCTCATTAGATTGCAGAAACGAGGAACGATACCATAATGTTTGCAACAATTCAAAAAGGCCTAATGGCAGGATTGACTTACAATTGTCTTCTTTGTCAGGCTGTGATTAGTGCATTGTTTGGCAATTTTACTTCCATAGTTTATTTAAAGGTATGAAGATCAAGATGGTGTAGCCTTTTGTGTGTTCGCAGTCTCCTTTCGTTGTATAGAAGTTGTTTGACCTTGTTTTCGCAACCTGGTCATATTTGTAGGAAGATTTAGAGGAACGCATCTAGTCCGGAGTCCATTGTATGCATCATCATTTCCAGAGTAGGACAGTGGACGTGGGATATTCCCAGACTCTTCGCTGACATCGTAGTCGGCATCGTCAATGAGTATCGCCATTCGTAGCACCATATTACAACTCGTCAAAAAAACAAGTGACGCCCATCCTTTGCCAAAACGTGTGCTAAACAGTTTTGGTATCTTCCCTTCTGTCCTGGGCTATTCACATTTCATATATCCTTCTATCATGCCTTCCCTGTCACAATTTTTAGCGTGCTTATTTTTTATGTAGTGTGGTGTGCTCCTTTGAGCTGCATTCATGAAAACCCTTCACACTCCATGCTGTCGTTATCACCCCCTTCACCCTTGTGCTGAGAATGTACCACGTTTACGGTCCGACCTTGGAAATGATCATGCATACCATGGGCTCCGGACTAGGTGCATTCCTCTAAGTCTTCCTATCAATATAACCAAGTTGCGATAACAAGGTCAAACAACTTTTATACAACAAAAGGAGACTGCGACCACACCATCTTGGTCTTCATACCTTCACTACCTATTGTTTTCTCCATAGTTCCGCAGTCAGAAGTTCACCAATCGTCTTTTACTTTCCATACGTACCATAATCAGTAATCCTATTAGTTTGAGACCATTTTATTTAATGTCCAGTTTCTGTCATGTGTTCGGCCACTTATGCCCGTTGGATCCAGCTACCTTTGCAAGCATTTTTCTGTTCTACCAATCTTTGTCGAATATGTCTGCATACCTCACCAACATAACATTGACCACATGAGCAAACAATCTTGTTGCAGCCGGATCTCGATAATGAGTCATATTTCTCTCTAAAAGATGGCATAGCAGAAGAAAGTGTGAGGCTTTCTTTGAACACTCTTTTTATGCCCCACTTCTTTACTAATTCGCCTATCTTTTTTAGGAGAAAACATGACGGCAAAATTAGGACATGGGAAAAGGTCTCATTCTGTGAAGACCAAGATGTTGTGGCCTCTGGTGTGGTCGCAGTTTCCTTTCGATTGATAGAAGTGGGTTGACGTCT